TTGATTATCTATATTATGAATCACCCACATCATAAATTTTTTTGATTATCTATATTATCTATATTTTTTGATTATCTATATTATGAATCACCCACATCATAAATCCCTCCCCACAGTCTACAGAGGTGATTGTACTCATCAAAAGTCTTTGTTGAGTCCAGAGCAGCTGCTTGAAGCACATTATGGGTCTCACTTCTCAGCCGATGGTGGTGCCTCTCTGGGATGGCATACGGTGCATGGATAAGGGACTGTTCTCCTGTCTTCCCTCTTCCTGCAATCGCAGTCTCTTCCCCGCCCCTCCTCCCTCACCCCCAAGACCTGAGCTGACAGGAGGAAGTAGGCGTCTTATCCTGTGCCTGCTCTGAGCACCTCTGCCCATGGGAGGGCACGGGCCGTCTGGGGCTGGCAGCACGGGAAGCCTCCTGCGCGGCGGGCTGAAGCCGGAAGCTTGTACCTGCTTGTCTAGCACTTAAGGTGTAGAGACGGAGCACAGTCTGGTTTATCATGTGGAATTACAGCAGCCACGTTCTTTCCAGTCCCTGCTAATCCCTTTTTCCCAAGCTCACCCTCCTGCCACCTTTCCCCAGTCCCAGCACCTGTGGATCAAGACACAGGCCAGACCTCACCGCATCTCCCCTTTTGATGTTGACATCAGCCCTGTGGCTCTTTCCTCCTAATCCAGTTAGAGCCTCAGGAGAGATGTTGTTTGGGAATGTAGAAGGAGGGTGGCAGGGAGGGAGCCTGAGGAAGAATTTCCGTGTTCTGCTTGTTCTGAGTTGCTGCCAAAGGAGGTGAGAAAAACTGGTCTGGGTTGATGTGGAGATGCCTTCTTTCTCATGATGCCAGAGCCCTTTAACCCTTTCCTCACTCTGTGGAGAGGTGCCCACCTGTACCTGTCCTGTGCCCTCCACTTGGCCTGGGACTGTGGGCCCTGGCTTGGTTTCAGGTATGGGAGAGTGAGGATGAGTGTGGTCCCGGCGTTTGCTTTCCCAGAAGTGGAGAGGGAAGGAGTTGACCTTCTGAGATTCCACTGAGATTTAAAAGTGGTGTACTCTAGAAAAGAGTCTGAAATAGGATAGATATATATATGTGTGTATATATATATATATATATATACACATATATATATATATATATCTTGAATCACTTTGCTGTACACCTGAAACTGACGCAACATTGTAAATCGACTCTACTTCAATTTTTAAAAAGTGGTATATTCTGCGGCTTCCCTGGTGGCGCGGTGGTTGAGAGGCTGCCTGCTGATGCAGGGGACACGGGTTCGTGCCCCGGTCCGGGAAGATCCCACATGCCGCGGAGCGGCTGGGCCCGTGAGCCATGGCCGCTGGGCCTGCGCGTCCGGAGCCTGTGCTCTGCGGCGGGAGAGGCCACAGCGGTGAGGCCGGTGTACCACAAAAAAAAAAAAAAGTGGTATATTCTATCAAGACAGGGTTCAACTTGGACTCCTGAGGCTGGCTACTTTCCTGCAGGGTTATCTATACAGCTGGGTAGATTGTGACTTGCCCAGGGACTTTGGGCCGAGGTGCCTATGGGAGTTGAAATCCAATCTGAACTCTCCTTGTCAAGCCATACACCCTAGGGTATAAACGTACCCCCAGAGGAGCTCCTGGAGCTGACTCATCTGCCCATAAATACCACCTGTTTCTCAGTTGCACAAAGGCTCTGGAAGGCCAGCAGGAGCCACAGCTAAGCTAGTGCTCAGCATTTTCTCCTCTCCTTCCTGCACCTTCAGTCACTGTTCTGGATCATTCCTGTGATTCTGTCTCCTTTATTCTCTTGAAAGTTCTGTTAAAGGCAGGGGTCATGCCTTTGTTCATATTTATTTCCTTCTTTCTGCCTCATCCTTTCACCAAGTGTTCCCACCTGGGATGGGCCTCAAAACTGTCTCGAAAAAGAAAACCATTCTCTAAGGAACCTTAGAGACCATCTAGCCCAATACTAGCGTTATTTGGCAGGAAAATTGAGGCCCAGAGAAGAAAAGTGACTCGTCCAAGCTTAGAGATGAAGACAAGTTGCCTCTTGTCCTGAATCCGAGTTGACACCTGTTTTACTTAAAGAAGCAGCCACGGAACCCCGGGGGTGGAGGCTGAGAACAGCCTTCGGGTTCAGGCTTGCTACAGGGTTAAGCCAGGGCCTAGGGCCTCCATTCTCTTCATCCCTGGATCTGAGTTAGGGAATTAATGTTTGCCAAATGGGTGGACGAGGACTGAATAAAGGAAGAACCACCCAGCCAGGCTCAAAGGGCCCTGGGCTGACCTTCCCATATCTCTCTTTTCAAGCCACACACTCAAGGTAGCCAAGTTCTCTTAGCCCTGTTGGAACCCCAGCAGACAAGTTGCTAGGGGGGCAAGTCAGAGGATTCAAGGGGGAGGCTGGGGCATGGCTGCCCACAGCTTGTTCCGACCTGCAGTTGTCTGTTCCTTCTCACTCTTCACTTCGATGTTCTTTAGTTGTTTCTATGAGCTCATAATACCCCTCCTTCTCCTCTGGGCGACTCACCCTTCCTTTCCACCCACACGCCTTTGAGGCACCTGATACTAAAGTCGGGCTCCCACTGGCCTCCCATTTACCCAGAGAAACGGCCCATGAGGAATTTATGGAATGTCCCCAGGAAACTCTGCCATGGTCCAGGCCGCATAGCTCTTTCAACACAGGAAGGAAAAAAAAAAAAAAAAACAACTAGCCAAGAGTTTGGAGAGGGGAGGGAAGCAGGGTGCGTCAGGACCACTCACTTCTTCCCTGCCTAACCAGGTGTCTGTCAGACTGTGCGGCCTCCGTCCATGGCAGCCCATAGGACAGGATGTCCCCGAGTGGGGACGATTAGAGGAAGCAGAGACTGCCTAGAAGTGGCAGGACCACGAGGTGTTGTTCTGTGCTGTGTCACATACTTGCTCATACCTGCCCTCTGCTCTCTAGGCAGAGAACAGTGCAGACGAGGCCACCGCCTTCTGAGTCACAAACATGCAGAGGGAACAGGCAGAATAAGGACGAGACGTCAGAACCAAGAGGTGTAACACTTGCCTAGGCTAAGGTCCAGGGCATCAGAGGTGATAAGAAGACAGGCCAGGATTCACCACAGGGATGGAACGATTCCAGAGAAATCAGCTGCCACAGTGTGATTAACCTGGAGGGCTTCATGGAGGAGGAAGCTTACTAAGATTTGCTCTGAGACTGAATGAGACAAAGTGATGAGTTGGGGATGGGAGAGAAGGGCCCTCTAGACCTTGGGTGCCGTACTGAGAAGATGCAGAGCACGTGCCAGCAAGGTCTAGAGTGCGCGGAGGGGCTTGGAGGACTTGGCGAGGTGGAAGCCAAGGCGTAGAGTACTGTGAGGCTCAAGTCCTAGAGGATCAAGTGAAAAGGATCTTGGGACTTTCGCTGACCTTGTGAGCCAACCGTGTGATCCACAAAGTTAATTAGTCTTCACCACACTAACAGAAGGTCATGAAAAGTGGAGGCCCCACGTCCCACAGGAGATAACATTGTGAGAGGGCTTAAGCCAACCAAAGAGCCAGGTCAACGAGGCCTGCAAGGATGCGGGAGCCATGCTGTACGGAGAATACTTTTAAAAGGATGTTAACCCAAGGGAAGAAGTGGAAGGGAGGAGACGAAACAGCTTTCTTCACAGACTGTGATTTACTGAGCACTTATTATGTGTCAGGTGATATTCTAAGAGCTTGATATCTACTAACTAATCTTTATACAACTCGATGGGGTAGGTGCTATTGTCACCTCCATTTTGCTGATGAGGAAATAGAGGCCAGAAAAGGTAAAGAAATGCGTCCAAGAGCCACATGGCAAGTAAATGGCAGAGCCAGGGTTTGAACCTTGATCGTCTGGTTTCACAATCATGCTTCTCCATTAAGCTGTGCAAGATGAATTAAACTTATTCAGTGTGGCCCCAGAGGGCAGAAGAGGGCCAACAGCTAGGAGTTCTGGTAAAATAGTTTTCCACTTAATAGGAGGAAGAAGCTTCTTGCAGCCAAACTGTCCCATAATGGAAAGAGTTGACTCAAGAGGGAATGAGCTCCCAGTCAGTGGAAATACTGAAGCAGAGACTAGGTGGTCACCGATCAGGGAAGCTGTGGAGAGGCACCTGCACCAAGCACATGACCTTCCCACTTATGCCGCCCCTATTTCTCTGACTCCCTCAGTAGGGGTGGGAGATAACGGAGGGCAGAGAAGGGGAGCAGAGCGCGGAAGGCCAAGGCACCCTGGGGGTGGGCTTTGAAGTCACAGCTGGGTTCACGCTGGCCCTGGGTGTGTAGCAGAAAGCCCCTGAGGGTCAGCGGGGAGGTGCTTGGCCCAGACAGGGCAAGGCAGGACCCAGAGGATGAGGGCAGGCAGGCCTGGGGCAAGAGGCAGGGGAGGGAAAGCAGGGCCTCCTGGGGCTGGGCACGGCTGACTGTGCCGACATCCCTCCTGGCCAAGGGCAGTCAGTGGGAGTCCACCTAAGAGATGCCCGGAGCTAATAGCAAAGCACATGAGGAAGAGTAGTGGCAACAGGGACTACAGACTCATTTAACACGACTTCCCAGGTTGAAGGGAGGGGTCCAGGAGACAGGTCGTGGGGCCTGAGCTGAGAGGGCAGAAGACGCTGGGACCGGGAAGCAGGACTCTCTAGGGTTTGGGACAAAGTCCCATTGGTTCCTCCCCTCCATTTGCA